ACGCAGCCAGAGTGTATCCAGGCTGTGTTTCAAAATTCACTGCCAGCGCTGAAAATCTACAATCTACATTACGTATACTATACATTGTTAGCACTGACAGTACATTTTGGAACATAGTCCCAAATGTACGGCCGCTCAGTGAGGGCTCAGTGAGCTCTTGTACCTGTTTGATCTATATTTTTAGATCTAATGGAATATGTTATTCAGATGCAAAAGCTCAGTGTTCTGTGAGCGATAATAGGTTTGTTCGCATTGCTTGAAATCTCCAAAATATTTGTACTTAAAACGGAATAAATATATATTCAGGCGTTGAAAAAAAAGAGAACGAAGATGTTAAGTGCGAGCAACGCGGACAAACATCCATTTCCTCAATAGCGAAAACCTAGACACCCACTTCCTCGACAGCGAACATGTAGAAAACACCTAGACACACACTTCTTCGACGGCGAACACCTAGACACTCATTTTCTCAATAGTGAACACCTAGACAACCATTTCCTCAATAGCGAACACCTAGACACCCATTTCCTCGACGGCGAACACCTAGACGCCCACTTCCTCGACGGCGAACACCTAGACACTCATTTCCTCAATAGTAAACACCTAGAAACCCATTTCCTCGACCGCGAACATCTAGACACGCACTTCCTCGACGGCAAACACCTAGACGCCCACTCCCTCGACGGCGAACACCTAGACATCCATTTCCTCGACGGCGAACACCTAGACACCCACTTCCTCGAAGGCGATCACCTAGACACTCATTTCCTCGATGGTAAACACCTTGACACAAACTTCCTCGACGACGAACACCTAGACACCCATTTCCTCGACGGCGAACACCTAGATACCCATTTCCCCAATACCGAACACCTAGACACTCACTTCTTCGATGGCGATCACCTAGATACCCATTTCTTCGACCTAGACATCCACTTCCTCGACGACAAACATCTAGACGCTTAATTCCTCGACGGCGAACACCTAGACGCTTATTTCCTGAATATCTATACACCCTCTTCCTCAACGTGGTAAATACCTAGATCTTCATCTACGACAATCTCGATATTTCATTTTAATTATAATTATTATTCTATTTTAATTCATTTTATTAATTTTAATTTCAATTAATTAATTGTAACACGTCACATCGTATATGTGACAATGTTGCCATCGCTGATTATCACAGCCGTCATATGTGGTTGATCACGTTCGAATGTGCAATGCTGCCATCAC